AGAGAGAGAGATAAAGATAGACATAGAGACAGAGGTGTGTGTGTGTGTGCGTGTCTGTGTGTGTGTGTGTGTGTAGATACTTGGATGTCAGAGCAGGAAATTTTAAAACAACCTTTTGTTTTCTAAATGCAAGAATAATACTTATTAATTGTAAAAAAAAAAAGTGAAAATAATCAGAGAAACCCAAGGAAAACCAACAAAAGAATAACCGTATTTCTGTACCCACGGTACCCTGGGGACAACTATTGTTAACATTGTGCCATGTTTTCCTCTCTGCAGTTCTCACTCCTCCTGTTGGCTTCACCCCCACTCCATCCCCGGAAAAAAATTAGATCCAGTTACAGCTGATTTTCATTATTTGCAGATTCTGTATTTGCAAGTTCACCTTCTCGCTAAAATGTATTTGGAACTGCAAAGCCAGTACTCACGGTGCTTGCGCGATCGTTTGCGCACGGGTGCCGGTGGCGAGGACGGGAGCTGGCTGGCTTGCACGTTGCCAGCCGAGTTGGAGCAACGGGACGCTCAGCTCTCAGCCTATAAAAAGTGTCCCTTTCTTGGTCTCCTTGGTGTCACGTTTTCCGCATGTTACTGGCGATTTCACTGTTTAAAACAGTCCCAGGCGAGTGCTGAATTGCTTTCCTAAGTGCAGGAAGGCTGTGACATGCCTCATGGAGAAAATCTATGTTAGCAATGCTTCATGCCAGCAGGAGGGATCGTGCTGTTGACCATGAATTAAAAGTTAATGAATCAACAAGATTTATTAAATAAGGTGTCTTTAAACAGAAACGTGTAACACAAAATTATGAATTGATTGGTTGACAAAAATGTTGTGACAGAGGCTGGCAGGAGCCAAACCCTGTGTTTCCCCCTGGAGCAGTGGGTCAACACTCGCTGATTCTGTGTTCTTGGTGAACTAAAGAACGCGCAGCTACCACCCATAGGGAGAGTCAGCGGTACCTGTGCAGTCTGGGACACTGCTTTTCTCATCTCGCATTTCCTTAGGTTACTAAATAGCCTTTGAAAACAATTTCTTAATGACTGCATACTGTTCCATTAAGTGAATGTAACATAATAGTAACCTATTTTTGGATAATTTTTGTTGCTGTAGTTTTCCTTTTTTTATGAACAATGCTGTGACAAATCCGTGTACTGGAATCTTTGTCCACACTCTGATTGCTCTTCCATAGGGAGGTTTCTAGACCCAGGTCAGAAGGCATGCTTATTTTTAAGTATTTGATAAAGGTGGCCAAGTAGCCCTCCAGAAAGTTTGTACTAATTATACTCCATCATCCAGTAAATGAGTTTTGTGAGTGTGAGTGTGAGTGTGTGTGTGTGTGTGTGTGTGTGTGTGTGTGTGTTTTTTTTAAGGCTTAGAGGAGCGAAGGAGGAGGAGAAGCTTGGTGCTGCCTGGGCTGAGTGTGTGGGGAGTGGAGAGGGTGCAGGAAGGATGTTGGGGACTTTAGGACCAGAGGCAGTGCTGGCCTGGGTGCGGCCATGGGGCCGGCTGTTATCCCATTGGCTTTCTCAGTGGCGGCAAGGGCAGCCAGGTGGAAGCGCTTCCCTTGATGTGGCGGAGGTCTGCCACTTCCTGCATCGCTCCTGGGAGGGTAGGGTCAAGCCTGGGCCTCTTGCTCCAGGGAGCTGAGGCACCATGCTGGCACGTCTCTCAGCTGTGGCTGGTTAGAGAGTCCTTTCTTTTCCTTTCAAAATTTTGTTCATCTAACTTTTGAATTAGGTAGTACATTTATTACATCTATCTATAATCTATCAATCTATATATCTATCCACCTGTCATCTGTCTGTCTTTATTATCTATCTATCTATCTATCTATCTATCTATCTATCTATCTATCTATCTATCTATCTATCATCTGTCTCTACCATCCATCATGAAAGCTCTCCTTCTTGCTTGGCCCTGCCCCGACAGTCCGGCATTTCTTCCCTCCCCTGCAGATGAAGCACTGCAGTTAGCTTCCTCCCCTCATTCTGGCTTTATTCTGCAAATGCAAGCACATCTGGCTATAATTCTTAGCTTTTACCCTTTTTATACAAACGTTTGCACATTATACTGTCCTGCCCCTTGCTTTTTAATTCCCCCCAGTTTTATTGAGATATAACGCAGAACTGTATAAGTTTGAGGCACACAGCATAATGGTGTGACTTATATTGTGAAATGATTATCATAATAAGTTTAGTTGACATCCATCATCTCATATAGAGACCCGCCAAAAAAAACAATGCTTTTTTCCTTGTGATGAGAATCCTTAGGATCTACTCACCTAACAGCTTTCAAATGTACCTTTCAGCAGTGTTACCTATAGTCTACGTGTTACATGTGACATCCCCGGTGTTTAGCTTTTCAATTAATAAAGATAACTTGGAGGCTGTTTTGTAACACCGAGCAGCCCTCATTCTTTTTAGAGCGGCACAGTACTCCATCGTGGGGATGGACCATCATTTATTCAGCCGGTCCTTTAACCTGAGTTATTCCACATCCTCGCCAGCAGAAGCCACAGTGCCGTAAATAACCTCATTCGGATGCCATTCTGCACATGTGCGGGTGTTTCTGTAGGATGAATGTCTAGCAGTAGAACTGGTAGGTCGAAGGGTGTTTGCATTTGTGATGTTGATAGTAGCCAGTTGCCCTCTGTAGGGGTCGAGCTTCCGTCAAAGCCCTGCCAATAGGAGGCTGCCAGGCTTTAGAGATTTTTACAAAACAAATCTGATGGATGAGAAATGGTATTTCATTAGTTTTATTCGTGCTTCTTTCATGACAAGGGAGGTTGAGCATCTTTTTATGTGCTTTGCAACCCTTTGTAAACCCATCCCTGAGAACTGTGTCCCATGCTGTCGATGGTTTTGCCAGATTGTAGGGCTCTCTTCTTTCCTTTTGATCACACAAGGGCCGTATCCTGGTACCCATCCCTGCCCAGCCTCAGCCTGGGCTCTTCTCACTGGGAGGTGAGGAGGGTGGGGGCAGGGGCTGGCACTGGGTGAACCAAGGAGAGAGGCAGTCTTGGCTGCACCATCGTCTCATGAAGGGACCGAAACCCCTGATCTAGGTCAGCTAAATGAGCTAATGGCATGGAAAATGCTCACGCACTGCAGGGCCCATAGTAAATGCCCTGAAAAAGGCTGCTCAGTACTTTATGTGTAGAACATGCAAACCTACCAGGATCTATTTCTCTAAAATCGGGCCTTGAGCTGTCGTCCCCATGTGGACACAGGATGCCCTGAGCTGGCTGAGGGGCCTGGTGCTGGCCCGGGGAACCCAAGGGCAGAGCAGAGCAGAGCACTGGAGCTAATGCTTGGATCCGATTTCCACTCCGCTAGGTTTCTTGTTTGTGGAAAGCCAAGTCTTAAGAGCAGGGCTTAATCTGAGGCAGACTGTGGCTGACGGGGTGTGTATATTCACTTAATTTTCTCCTCACTCTCAGATGCTGTTGCGTGGCCCTGGCCTGGCCCTTCAGCTCTCTTATCCCCTTCTCCCTCCCCCCCCCCAACTCTAAACTCCTGGGGCTCACAGTCTTCCAAAGGGGCAGGTTATGGGCCCTTGGGAAAGCCAGGCTGGACTCAGGGGCCCCACATTCAGGGTTATGACCATAATGGGAGGGAGGAGAAAGGGAATTCCAGCCAGAAATACGAACTGAGAGTGAAGGGTTGTGGCATTCAGGCAATCTATTCCCCAGACCTGGATTTGACCTACCATGGAGCAAAGATTCCCTGTGCCTGAGCCCACCACACAGGGCCTTCTGCCCAGTATGACAGAGAACGGCTGCTGGCTGGGCTGGTGGTCCCCAAGGGAGTCCAGAGTCTCCTCGGAGCTCCAGCCACCTCTGTGTCTTCCAGCTCTGCAGCAAAATCCTGGAGAAGACGGCCAACCCTCAGTGGAACCAGAGCATCACGGTGCCTGCCATGGTGAGCCTCGGCCCGCGTGGGCCCACCCGGGGGCCCCAGGCTCCTGGCCTCCCCAGAATCCCACCCGCATCCCAGACTCCTGGTTCTTCAAAAGGACTCCACACCAACATGCATCTCTTCTCTCTATAGTTTCCCTCCATGTGTGAGAAAATGAGGATTCGTATCATGGACTGGTGAGTTCCGCGCCGCAGTCCTCGGAGGGAGCTGTCCTCAGAGTGGCCGTCCTCAGGGGTCGCTGGGTCGTTCAGTTCAGTCTGCACGCAGTGGGCGTGTGTGTTCTGGGTGACTCAGTCTCCTCTGGGGGAGGCAGAAGAGGAGAGGGTGTGGGCCATTCTTGGGAAACTCACTTGTAGCCCTGCTCAGAGGCAGGTAGGAGGGCAGCCAGGTAGGACTGGGAGGACTCCAGGAGCCTAAGATCCCTGAGGTCAGGAGGGGGCAGGAAGGCTTCCTGGAGGAGGTGGGGTTTTGATGAGGGCATTCCAGTAAAGAGGGGATCACAAGCAAAGGCAAGGAGGCTGAAACAGCAGAGCTTCTGGGGGGATAGGCTGCGATGCCTTCTGGGTAGGTAGGATGGGGTGGGAGGGCCCCATGCTGAGAAGTGCCAGGATTGTCTAAGCAGGGGGTGCCACTGGGGGCTTGAAACAGGTGAGGGCAGTAGCCACACGGGCATGTTGGAAAAGGAATAGCACCTACCACTTGTTGAGCACCTACTGTCCACCAGGCTGTGCCCAGCAAACACTTTACATGCACGATCTCACTTGACCTTCAGCTTGACTCCCTTTTTTGTGTGTGAATCCTCACCCGAGAATATTTTTTCCCAGTGTTAGAGAGAGTGGAAGGGACGGGGAGGGACAAAGAGAGAAACATCGATGTGAGAGAGACACATCAATTGGTTGCCTCCCGCACGTGCCCTGACCAGGGCCAGGGACTGGGCCTGCAACTGAGGTACATGCCCTTGCCCGGAATCGAACCTGGGACCCTTCAATCCACGGACTGATGCTCTATCCACTGAGCCAAACCAGCTAGGGCTTGACTCCTTCTTTACAGGTGAGGAGGGAGGCTTGCAGAGACTGAGTAATCTGCTCTGGGTGACAGCTGGGGGCAGCTGAGGCCAGGCCTGCTCCCCAAGCCCACACCTCACCAGTGGCCGTGCCGCCTCCTGCTATGTGAGGGGGTCTCTCCCGCACCCGAGGGCCCTTAGGGGTCCATACGCTGATCTCCGGGACCTTCCATACACCAGGCTTTCCAAACAGAGAGTTGTCCTTTCTCTGCCCCCAAAGGCCTGGGCTGTGCGGTTCCCAGTGTGTTGTCCTTTGGTCTCGGGCCCAGGGCACCCCCAGCAGGAGGATAATGAGAGACTGGGGAAAACCCCCAGGCCACAGAGCCATTACCGTGCACGCCAGTTCCCCGGGCCCAAAGCAAACAGCTTGTGAGAATTAGAGGAGAGGAAGGGAGCAGCCAGGAGGGCGGGAGGGAGAGGCCTCTGGGGCCCTGACCGCCGGTATGTTCCGTGGGGAAGCGGTCTGGGGGGAGACGTGCTTTGTGTCCACAGATGATCTCTTCATCTCGGCTCGCAGTGCGTGTGCGCATGTGTGTGCATGGTGTTGCCTGGGCGATTGGCTGTGCACGGCTGTGCGTGTGGATGCATGTGTCTGTGCGTGTGGATGCATGTGTGCGTGGGTGTACATGGGGCGGTTGTCCCGTGTGCGTGGGGACAGGCCTTGCCTGAGCCCCCGTGAGCTGTGTCAAGGGCCTCGGCATACTGTACAATCCAAACACATGACGGAATCTGGTGGTTGCCTCTCTGGTTTGGGTTGAAGTGGCATTTTTATTGTGAGTCTATTTTCAGACTTGCTGTATTTTCCAAAAGCAACCCCAAGCCCCAAAACCCAACTTCTGGCCAGAAAGCATTCTGCTGCTGAAAGTTCCTGTCCCGAGCAGTGCTTTCTTCCCAGAAAATGCAGATCAACTTGTGTTTCTACCTGAGGCCTGGAAATATGATCTAGTCTATTCGGCCTTTTCTCTGTAACTTAAACTTCCGTTCGATTCTTTAAGAATTTCTTCTTCATTAAAAAATAACCCCCTCCAAATTACCCCGCTCCTGCCCCCTTAAAAACAAAACTTTTCTTCCCATTCTCTTTGCCTCCTCAGCTGGTTCAGGGAAGACCAGAGGTTCCCCTCCAAGTGCTGGGCTGGTCGTGGAGGCAGTTTAAAAGCGCCCCCGGCTGTCGGTGATCTGGTGTCAATAATCCCATTGTAAAAAGTGAATTTTAACGTTCTAGTTGTTCTAGTTCGCATCAGCATTGTTCACCGGAAGAAATGATAAAGATCAGTGCTGACAATCACTCTTCCTAGTGTAGCTGCCGCCCTGGTGGAAAAAGTTAAAACCAAGCTTAATCACCTCCCTGGGAAACATGAAGAGGAAGGAAGGGAGCAGCCCAGATGGGGTTTAGATTTAAAAGAGGAAAAAGTCACCAGGCCCGGGTGTCTTTCACATGGGACTTGTGTATCATCGCCTGACGCCACCCAGGGCCAAAGGACGGGAAGCAGGGAGAGAGGGCCTTCAGGCTACAAAAGTAAAAAACAAACAAACCAAAAAACAAAAATAACAGGGCAAATGCACCTTGGAAACTTCCAGAAGGAGATAACTTGCTCAGCCCAGCGTTTCTCAGCCTCAGCATGATGATATTTTGGCCAGGAAATGTGGGAGGCTGTATCATGCATTGTAGGATGTTTAGCAACCAGGGCCTCTCTCTACAGCCCTCTCCCCAATACCAAAAATGCCTCAGACATCGCCAAGGGTCCGCTGGGGGTCCGCATCACTGGTTTGAGGGACCCTGGTGTAGCCTGACGGGGAAGCAGCAGGTTGCTGTAATCAAATGTCGGGCATAGCCCGCTCAAATGCCATCTTGACAAAGTATTTAATCTTCTACACCTCAGCTTCCTCATCTGAGGTTGGGGCTGATTGTAGTACCTACCTCCGAGGGCTGCCGTGAGGACATGAGCTGGGTCCCGTGATGGTTTTAGCAAGTGCTTGGCTTTCGGTAGGTGTTCAGTAAATGCCAGCTATTACTCTATATTATTACCAACAGGACATGGTTGGCTAATGGGTTCACCCATCAGTAAGTCTCCTCGAACTCGTACCCACAGTCCCCTATGCTGGCTGGGAGGAGAGAAGCCTCTCTCCTGGGAAGCAGGACAGGCCCCCCAGGGCACACTGAGCAGGAAACAGGACATCAGGGCTGGGTTCTGGCTCTGCCCGTCCTTCCCAGGCTGACCTTGGACAAGGACCTTCCTGGTTCTAAGTCTCAGTTTTAAGGCCGTTGTGAGGGTCCCGAGAGATAAAGGAGGTTAGAAGTGTGTTGTCACATAGAAAGTCAGATACAAAAAGGAATAGTGGCCCAGCCGGCGTGGCTCAGTGGTTGAGCATTGACATATGAACTAGGAGGTTACAGTTCGATTCCCGGTCAGGGTACATGCCTGGGCTGTGGGCTCGATCCCCAGTATAGAGCGTGCAGGAGGCAGCTGATAAATGATTCTCTCTCATCATTGATGTTTCTTTCTCCCTCTCCTCTCCTCTCTGAAATCAATAAAAATATATTCAAATCTCCCCTCTCCCCCAAGCACAAAAAGGAATAGTGCATTTGTGTAGGAGGTAGTGTCTTCCTGGTTACTTGGTTTTCTCCTGGGTCTGGATATTTCTTGAGCTCCTGGTGCCTGGCTCTCCCAGGGTCTGGGGGTCTGGCTCCCTGAGCAGCCTCCTTCCTCCTCCCTCCTCCCTGTCACCTGAAGTGTCCCCAAGGACATCCCGGTGTTGGCTTGATAATGGTGCTGATGGTTGTGAAATGGACGAGTTTCCACCAGAGGCGGCTTGAGCAACACTTTATTCCCAGTTTCTTCTTCCCTGGGATGACCAGGCCTCAGTGAAATATCCAGTGTGAATACTGGGACCCCTGGTGATGGACAACCAGAGCCATTTCCTGCTGGGTGGGCTGTGTCCTCAATCTTCCCCCTGTCCAGGCCCTCTCTGTCCCCTGTTCTAGGGACCGCCTTACCCACAATGACATCGTGGCCACCACCTACCTGAGTATGTCGAAGATCTCTGCCCCTGGCGGCGAAATAGAAGGTAAGCTCCCCCTCTGTTCTGCCCTCTAGTACCCAATGCTCCCCCCCCCCCCCCGTTCCACCCCTGCCCATCTTGACCTCTGGTTTTGAGAGTTTGCAGAAAAGGGAAGATGATAAGTCTTTGCTGCCCATTTCCCAAGGCTCTGACCAACGAGAGATGGGCCTATGGACACCTAGGATTCTCCACCCTCGGAGGCGGGGATGCACCTCCGATGGGATAGAGAGGACAGTTCACTCCTGCAGATAACATGGGGGCGGCACCACACCACCCAGGGGTTCGGTATTGGCCGACTGTGCTCTCGCAGCATCTCTTTTGAAATACGTTTGGTCTGTTAAAAAGTAGTCCATGATCATTTTGTAAAATGTTAAAGAAACCATCTGAAAGATTATAATATTTACCCATGAAATTACCCATAAGCCTACCTTGTATCCAGCCTACCCTCTATCCAGACAGGAACTAACTTGGTATTTTGGGACCTTTCTATATGTATGTACGTATGTACACCTACATGCATGTACGTGTATATATACACATACATGCATGTGTATGTACCTATATACATGAAAAACATTGTTTTGAAAAAATTTTCAGTTGCTTTGAACATTGCTTTCTATCACTTGGCAATACAGCATAGATGTTTATTCCTGTTATTAAATATTCTTCTACAATATAATTCTAAATGAATACACATGTTCCACATATGCATGTACCAAAATCCATGTTAACTAGCTAATGTTGAATTGTTTAGATATTTTCTAATTTTTCCACATTATAAACAACTGACTTTATATTGAATATTTTTGTAGCTGACTCTTTATTCAATTCACAATATTCCTTTTGGAGGAACGCCTAGCAGTGGAATTGCTGTGTCAAAGGATTTGAACATTCTAAAGCTTTTGGTATATATCAAAACTGCCCTTCAAAAAGATTGGACAGATTTACATTCTAATCACTTGCAGAACTTTTTTCTTTTTACACCTTTACCAACACAGAGCAAAGTAATGTTATTAAAACAGAACTTTGTTAATTTGACGGGTGAATTTCATTGTTACCTTGGTTTTCATTTCATTGAAAACTGATGAAGTTTACCAATGCAAATTTAAAAATATTATAATAATTAAATATATTTATATACTTTATTCTATTACATTCTATTGTAAATTGTATGTTCATGTTCTTGTCCAAATTTCTGGTGGTATGTTTGTCTTTTTCTCATTGTTTTATAAGAGTTCTGTATGTGTATGGACGTTCACTTTCTCCCATCATTTATGCGGATTAATTTTTGTCAGCTTTATTTTACCATTTAATAGTTTTTGATGAACAGAAATTTAAAATCTTTATGTAGCCAGATCTGTTATATTTTTTCTTAGTGTATAAGGCAAGGAGCTAACATTATTTTTTTCAAAATCGTCCTTTGGTGATACACTGAGAGATAAAGGAGGTTAAAAGTGTGTTGTCACATAGAAAGTCAGATACAAAAAGGATATATATTGAATAGTCTTTTCCCTACATTTGGAAATACCACCAACCCTTACTAAATTACTAGATGTGTTCTTGGGCTTGTTTAAAAAAATATTGTTGAAAGTATTACATATGTCCCCCTTTTCCCTCATTGACCCCTTCTAGCCTGCCCCCGCCCCCTGCTACCACCCTGTTGTCTGTGTCCATGGGTTATGCATATTTGCATACAAGTTTTTGGTTGATCTCTTTCTACCCACCCACCCACCCACCCACCCACCTACCTTCGCCTTCCCTCTGAGATTCTGCAGTCTGTTTCATGCTTCTATGATCTATTTTGTCTCTAGACCTATTTTGTTAACAGTTTATTTTGTTCATTAGACTCCACATGTGAGTGAGATCATGTGATACTTGTCTTTCTCTGACTCTGACTGGCTTACTTTGCTTAGCATAATACTTCCCAGGTCCCTCCATGCTGTCTCAAAGGGTAAGACATCCTTCTTTTTTACTGCTGCATAGTATTCTATGGTGTATGTAGATGTACCACAGCTTTTTTATCCACTCATCTACTGATGGGCTGTTTCTAGATCTTAGCTATTGTATTATGTGCTGCTATGAACATAGGGCTGGGTGCATACATTCTTTCTGATTGGTGTTTTGGTTTTCTTAGGATATCTTCCTAGAAGTAGGATCACTGGGTCAAATGGCAGTTCCATATTTAATTTTTTGAGAAAACTCCATACTCCTTTTCATAATGGCTGTACCAATCCTTGGGCTTGTTTTTTGATTTTCTACTATCTTTAACCAGAGGCCCGGTGCATGAAATTCATGCACTCAGGGTGGGGAGGGGTCCCTCAGCCCGGCACGTGCCCTTTCACAGTCTGGGAATCCTTGGGAAATGTCCAACTGGGAGCGGGCCTAAGCTGGCAGTCGGACATCCTTAGCACTGCTGCGGAGGCGGGAGAGGTTCCCGCCACTGCCGCTGCACTCACCAGCCATGAGCCCTGCTTCTGGCTGAGCAGTGCTCCCCCTGTGGGAGTGCACTGACCACCAGGAGGCAGCTCCTGCGTTGAGTGTTTGCCCCCTGGTGGTCAGTGTGCATCATAACAACTGGTCGTTCCACTGTTCGGTCAATTTGCATATTACCCTTTTATTATATAGGATGGGTATGTGTGCTTATTATTTCTTAGGTTTTGGTTTCTAGGTTATTTTAGCTCTGCAAAATTAATTGGACAAATTTAAGTCTTTTCTAAAATCTGGAACAGTTTATATAACATGAGAATATAGTCTTTTGAGGGTTTGAAATAATTCACCCATAAAACCATATGGGCTGGGTGCCCTTTTTGAGTGAGTATAACACTAGCTCTTTAAAAACTTTTCTGTTTCTCTTGTGATCATTGTTATTTTCAGTTTGTTTCTTTTACTACAGTCAGTTTTGATGATTTATATTTTCCTAGAAAAGCATTATTACATTGAGGTCTTCTAATTTATTTATACAGTATTGTACAGATCAATAATTTTAACAATTCTCTATCTGTGATGTTTCCTGCTTTCATATTTCTAATGATATGTATTTGAGTTTTCTTTCTTTTTTCATAATTAGCTTTATTAGAAAAATTTCAACCCCTACTTTATTGGACATTTCAAAAATCAGTTTTTTGGATTTATTTATCAATTCTAATATATTTTCTAGTTTTTAATTCTATATCTTTTTACTCTTTTCTTTAACTCTGTACATATTTTGTTGTTTCTTATTTCAGCTTTCTAGTCAACTTCTTGTGTTTATTTTCAGTATTTCTAACTTAAATAATGTAAATATGGTTTCTGGTCCCATATGTCATGCTTTTGGCCTTCAGCAAACCACCAGGTTATATTTACCTCTATTTTTTATTTTTTACATCTAGATATTTAATCTATTTTGGGGTGTTTTCAGAGAGCAGCCTGATTTGATACCTTTGTAGGTAGTCTATTTTTTCTAACTAGATGCTGCTTTTAGGCATGTATTGTTTTTATTGCAGTTTAAAACATTACTTTCATCTGTCTAGATGCAGCACCCCTTTTATTGAATTTTGTCTGAGACATGGTGAATTCTTAAATCTGAGCTGAGGAGTAATTTCCTTTATTCTATCACAGCCTGGATGCTGAAGGCAGGGTGGGCAGGGATAGAGCAGGAGTTCTGGAACCAGTAGCTTAGGTTCCGTTGTGCTTTTTGTAGCTGCGTGAGTCGCTCCAGTCTCCTCTTAGGAACCCCAGGCGCAGGAGGTGGTTATAAGGATCCAGTGAGATTTTAAATGTGAAGTTCTTAGAGTATCTGGTACGCAATAAACCCTAAAGTAAGGTTTAGTAGCATCAGTATTGGCTTTTACATCACTGATTTCCCCCCTGTATTAATTCTGCTTTGTACTATATCTCACGTGGTTTAAAATTGGCAATTACATTTTTAGATTCTTTTTAAAAAATATATATTTTATTGATTTCTTACAGAGAGGAAGGGAGAGGAATAGAGAGTTGGAAACATCAATGAGAGAGAAACATCGATCAGCTGCCTCCTGCACACTCCCTACTGGGTATGTGCTTGCAACCAAGGTACACGCCCTTGACCGGAATCGAACCTGGGACCCTTGAGTCCGCAGGCCGATGCTCTATCCATTGAGCCAAACCGGTGAGGGCCATTTTTAGATTCTTGTCACGCCTTCTTTTCTTGTCATTCCTTTTAATATTTTTTCCTTTCCCTCTTTGACTGCTCTCTCCCAGAAGTTTAGCTTTGTTCCACGAAAGCTATGTCTCCTTGCACGCTACTGAGGGTTCAGCATTATTTCCTGAGATCTCCCGGGGAACGCGCTCCTGAATCTCACAGATGCCGTCTCCCTCTCCTGGTCGGCACTGTTGTTCCTCCCCCTCCGTCGCTCACTCTGACCAGAGTGTTGGTGTCTTTCTATGGGGCCTGTCCATCCATCTGGTCAGGTCTTTCCCTGGAGGACAGGTGAACGCGCCCAGTTTCTAGAAGACTCCACCTAGTGCCCTGGACGTTGACCAATCCCTCGAGGTTCTCTGAAACATTACAAAAGAACTTCTAATGATAGAAAATTCAAGCACACATAAAAGTAAAGGGTTGTACAATGAACTCCCAGGTTTCCTCACTCAGCTTCATCTAGCTGCTCTGATTTCATTGCTGATACTTGTAATGAGTGACACACACAAAAACTGCCTCCCAGAAGGCACTGCTACCAGGCTTCCTCCTGCCCCAGCCCCTCACCCTCCGAACTGTGGGAGCTGCTGCCCCGGGTGGCCCCCTTCTCTAATGCTGTTCAGATCATTTCCGAGGGTGGCTGTCTTGGCTGTAGAAAGATTTGAGGCGGGGGCAGGGGGGTGGGTGGGGTGGGAGAGAGGCTGTCCTGGCCCCTGTCGCAGACGAAGCTCCTGCTATGGAAGAAACGTCTCCAGTTTGCTGTCTGGCGCTTCCCTGTCCCTGAATCCAGGGACAGACCCCGGGAGAGGCACAAAGTAACCACCCGACTCTCCGGCAGTTGCTGTTTCCTGAGGTCACAGCGACGCCTGCCATCAGCCGCCCAAGGGGAGTTTAGGTCCCTGGCTCCCCTCCGGCTTCCTTCTGGTGGTGATGATGGCCTTGATCTGTTTTCTGGGCTATGATGAATATTTTAATGGAAACCTGAGAAAGGTGCTGATTTGGCCACTAGATGGCGCTCAGGCCGTAGGCAACCCCTTGCGGCTCAGGGAGGCGTTCAGAGGCTGACCACCGGCTCCCACAGATTGTTTTGGAACTAAATGAGAATCACCAGTTTTAGGTGAGCTGTTAGATAGCGCGATCTCTGTAGCAGTAAATGAGTTAAACGTACTGCTCACACCGGAGCCCTTCTGCACCACTGCTCTGATGTCGCTTCCCGCAGATGGCCCTTGCCCAGGCCCTGGAATCTCGCACTGGCCTCGCTCCGGGCCAGCCTCCTCCCCCTTGTCCTGAGGCCACCTCAGAAGATGCCACCGCACCTTTCCGTTCAGCTCTTTGTATTTTCCTTCACTTGGGGGGGGGGGGGGAGGGAGGGCTTATAGCAGGACAATGCACCGTCCTTTATTTTGCCACGGCTCTCCAAACCCAAACTAAACTGAGCAGTAAAAATGGGCTCTTTCTCTGTAGTCCCGGCCTCATGGTTCACCAGATTATTTGGTCCAACCAGGAGTTTTTGTTTTCGTGTTTATTTCCAATGAGGACCGGACCTAACAGTGGCCTCTTAAGCCCTCTGCCCACAAGTTTGCCTGGCACACTGAAGTGTTCCTTGGACCCTGCGCGCCAAGGCACTTAGTAAAAATTTTGTTTTCTGAAAAAGAGTGCTTTCCCCAGAAGCTGCAGTTCTTTTGAAAGGGAACAGATGCACGAGGCCCGTGAAACCCACAGAGATTCTCTTATAACGTTATACATATGAAAACCCGCGCTACGTAGATAGTACTTGTGCCCTATAGTTTTTCCACAGTGAAGAAATCCGAAGTTCCTCTTTTTGTCTTTGGAACGTAGATGATAGTGATTTCCCCAGCAGTTCTCGGTGTCTCCTCCCGCCTGGCGCAGGCTGGTGTCAGGCAGCCAAACCGTGGGTGTGTGGGGTGTGCCGAGGGGCAGGACTGGCCACAGGTACCGGCCTCAGCGTCTCCAGTGGACACGGGTGCCCCCGGGGACTGCCCGGGGGCTGTGATGTGTGGCTCGTTGGGCTGGGAGGGCCTGCTCTCGTCTCCCTTAGCTTCCCCAGGTGAGAGAGCTGGGCTTGGTTGCTCAGGCCACAAAACTGGGAGTATTCATCTGTGTTTTGGGGCTTCTTTGGTCTGAGGGAAAACACGCCGAAACACTTGGTGTTTTGGCAGAAGGGCGGTGAGGACTGAATAGACGCATTGTCTTGGGTGCCTTCACTGGTCACTCTGCCCTTGACTTTATGAGCTGTCTGCAGACCCAGGGGAGAGACCCTGGGGTGATCCTCAACACCCGGAGCCCTAGCACCCTGCCCCCAAGTTAAGAAGCATTGGCCTAAGTTGTCAGCAGGGCTATGTCCTACTAGCGCCCAGCACTGTGCCTGGGCTGGTCTGCTGAACAAACAAACGAATGGATGGAGGAATTGATGAAAGGTACCGTTGGGAAACAGGCTACTCTGCAGCCACCCTCTTGGTCCTCCTAGCCACCGGCTGGTGGGTTTAGGGGACAGTTGTGTCTGGGCTGGGCACCGGTTTGCAGCCAGGATCCAGAGTTGGTCTGTGGGTGGGAAGGCGAGTTTGTCTCTGCACCGAGCACATGGAGGTTGGAAGTTTGACCTTGGCCTTATTAGCCTGAGATAACTGGCTGGGCCTGTTTGTGATCATTTGGAAGGAGCTTAAAATGGAATCTTTGCTCCAGGGGGGCCCTGGCCACTGCTCTCCTCGGGGCTCCAGCCGGGTCTGTGTGGGTCCTCTCGCTGTTGCTGAAAGCTCCCCTGTGACCAGAGGCCCGGCTCCCCCACTGGCGAGAACCTGTGCCTGTGGGTATGAACATGGCCATGAACTGTGGTTTCTGCAGCGGACTTCTGCCAGGTGTTCTAGCTGAGGCCTGGCTGGGAGAGCTGAGGGGCTGGGTCCCACACCCCCTGGAGCTGGGCCTCACCCTCCTGGCTGCCTTCTGTGCTCAGTGGTCAGCCCTGGCCGTGGATCCACACTTCCAAACTCCCCTCTTCTCCACACACACACTCTCTCTGTGTCTCTGCTCATTCTTCTTTCACAGTGTTTTGCTGAATGCTTGGCTCTTACCTGAGCCATGGAGTCCTGGGGAAATAGTCATAGGCATTATTTTTCTTAAGGAGACCAATAAGTAAGGGTGACCAATGCATGAGAATAATCAGGATTTCACCATCCATATCCCCAGGCGTGGTCATGACCCCAAACTAAGTTGCCCTTAGCTGATTGGAGGAGGAGTATGGGAAAGGGCAAAAATCAGAGAGGACTGTGGAAGGTGACTGAGGGGTGCTCACTCTTTGGGGAGCATCTTGTAATTGCCTAGAAGTGAGGGATGGATTCCAGGAGCCTGGAAGTTTGCCAGAGCATCTCCTTCCTTGCTTCTTTTATTTCTGGACACCCATGGCCAGCATTGAGGGTCACGCCCGAGCGTGGAGAACCTTCAGCTGACGGGCAGTGTCTGTCACTGTGTTTCACTTGCAGAGGCAGGTGCCAGAAGCCAGATCCCAGCGTCTGCTGTTGTGGAAGTGCAACACGGTGGCAATGCTAGACATGGCCACTAGGTGGAGATGTTGTGCCTTGAAATGCCACATCTCGGGGAGCTGGGTCCCAAGTGTCAACCTGCCTGTTGGGTGGAGCCCTGGGTGTGCCTGGCTGCCTCGCTCTGGCCCTTTCGTGCTTCCCCCACCCTTTCTTTGTGTCTGTACTTTGTTTCCCTCACTTTTCTGGCTATAATATGGAAAAGCACATTTTCTTCTCTGTGTTATTTCTTGAATGTATCGAGTCAAGTTTTGGGTCCAATTTTCAATTGGCAAACAGAGCACACAGACGTGCAGGCAGACACCAGTGGGGAGGGACCTGAGGGCTCACCAGGGTGCTGGGGGCTGTGTTTGGCTGAGGGGGGGGGCGCTCCTTGATGACTTAGTTGGTGATAAATTCACAGCAGGGCTGGGCCACATCTGTTTCCCACACGGGAGCTGTCTTTCCATCTGTCTGCCTGCCAGCTCTCCGTCCACATTCCCGTTCACGTAACCAGACTTCCTCCGAGCCATGCCCATCCTAACCCCTTTTCCATTTCTTTACGCTTCAGAGGAGCCTGCAGGTGTGGCCAAGCCTCCTCCAGCCTCGGACAGTACGTGCTGTGGGGAAGATGAGGGGTGGGCCTGGGGTTTCCGCTGGAGGGAAGAGGGTGCTGCTTGCCGGGAAGGTTTGATTTGCCGGAGGTGGGTCTGAGATTCCCCACCATGGTCCCCTAGTTTACCGTTGACTGAACCTCTCAATCTTGATGGAATACTGGTATATAAATTGCTTTAAAGGCAATTGCCTCCTCCTCCCCAAACCTCTTCCTAAATCTGCTGGGCTCCATCGGTTGCTCAAATGAACCCCCTCTCTCAGCAGGGAGGGGGTGGGGCCTGCATGGGTGTCCTTGGTGGGGAAGGGGACATCTTGGGGACCAGTAGGAGGACAGGGGGAGCTGAGAACTCTTGAAGTTGAAATTTGAAAGGTAACTCAGAGTTGAGACGATTGTTACAAGTAATTAGCAACGCTCGTGTTCCATCGGCCTGGGCTTCCCACCCCTGTCCCAGTGCCAGAGCCCTGTCTGTGCCGACTGGAGGGACAGTGGAGATGGACACAGGGTGGCCCCTGGCTCTGGGGGAGGCATGCTGTTCCTGCCTTCTGGCCAGGGATTTCTTATTTCTCAAGCCCCGTCCCTGCCCCCACCCTGTCCCCCCACCAGCGTCTCACCACTGGCTGGGATTCGGGGATCACAGCTCAGGTCTGGCTCAAGCCCTTCTTCGCTGAGGCCATTTGTTTTGTGCCCACCTGACTCCTTGTATGGATTGGAGCACCCCGGATAGTTCTTGTCTCCCCTCCCCCACCCCAGCCTCCACCCCCAATATTCCCAGAGTACAGCCAGTGAAGTCCCATCCTGGAGAACTTGGCTGCCAGCTGGAAAATGATGACATGAACAAAAGAGGGCCCCTAAGAAGGATGCTGAGAAGAGCTTTTCCCTGATGTTAGTGTAGTTCTTCTAACTCTCCTCCAGCCTGTGCCACTGGAAGGTTGTTCTGTGCCCAGAGGGAAGAGGGGGGGTTTGTCAGCATGAGTCAGGGCTCTTAGGGTCTGTTTCCGGGGTGGAGAGATATGTGCCAGGGGTTGCTTGTGGGGGGATATCTGGCTGGGCCCGCTCCTCGGTGCCTGGGAGAGGGCTTCTCCACTCATGAGGTTCTGGGCCTCCTCTGTGCCTTCTCACTCTCATGTATGGGCTGGGGAGGCGCTGAGGGGTGGGGTGTGGCCTAAGAGGGAGGACCCTGGCCCCAGACTTACGTGCTGGCTTGGTGCATGGATTTGAGCTCAGACCATTTTGGGTCATGGCACACTGGAGTCAGGGCTCCTTTGCACCCCCGAGCCTCAGTTTCCTCGTCTAGAAGATGAGATCATAAAAATAATAAAAAATATCTACATCTCAGCATTGTGGTGGGGATTAGAGGGACGCATGGGAGACAAAGGGAGCTCTCATCAGTGTCACTGCTCTCTAGGCATGTATGAGGCTGTGCCCCTCACCCGTGTAGGGAACTGAGGCCCAGGGGTGGGCTCAGGCCCGAGGGTGGCCAGCCCTCTGACCCTACCTGTGTCTCCCAGTGGACGACCATCTGGGCTTCCTGCCCACCTTTGGGCCCTGCTACGTCAACCTCTACGGCAGTCCCAGGGAGTTCACCGGCTTCCCGGACCCTTATGCAGAACTCAACATGGGCAAGGTGAGTCCGCCAGACCCCTCACACTCCTGGATCCCCAGGTCTTCCAGCCTGGCCTGGCGGTACCGGGGGCCACCTGGACTGCAAGGCCTGGCAGGGCTTGAGCAGGCCCAGGGCCAGTAGCCCTCCTCCTGCCTGGCCCCATCCTGGCCCCTCCCTCCCTCCTACCCACCTCTCTTTTGCCTCTCCTTCGGGGCCTGCCTGATTCCCCCACTTTCCTGGCCCCTGAGGGGCCCAGGTCCCCCTCCCCCCTTACCCGCTATCTGTCTCAGGTTTCACCTCTCCTCTGGCTGGGCTGGAGTCTGGTACTGACCGTCTGGGAGGCTTGGCCTGTCCCCCGGACTCTCTGGGCACCATTTCCTTATTTGCAGAGTGATGGGGTGGCCCAGGGACCTTCTTGGTGCCTGGGAAATGAGCAGCCTCAGGGGCAGATCAGGCCCCTTTCCTTCTCCTCCTCTCCATCCCCCCTGCTCCTAGTGATCCAACCTCCGCTCTAGGGGGAAGGTGTGGCCTACCGAGGCCGGGTGCTGCTGTCCCTGGAGACCAAGCTGGTGGAGCACTGCGAGCAGAAGGTGGAGGATCTCCCCGCAGACGACATTCTCCGGGTGGAGGTGAGGGGCGCGGCTCTCTGCGGCATGAGGGTGGTGGTCGAGGGGGGCTGGCCTGGGGGTGTCCTGGTGGGGGAAGCTCGGCTCCACCCACGCTCATACGCCTTCACCTCCCTGGGCCTCAGTGCCTCCGCTGGGAAGTGGGAGTAACCCCATGACTACCCTGCCTCCCCGAGGAATGTTCAGAGACTCAAAAACGATGAACGAAAGTACTTTAAAAGTCTAGAGCTCAATCCAAACCGAGGGGCTATTTGATAACAATAATGTGAGAATAGCTCACACTTACTAGGCACTCACCGTGTGTCAGACACTGTGCTAGTGACAGTCCGCTGTCACTGCGTCCTCCCAGCAGCCACCAGATGACGACTGCTAGTATCTCCATTTTACAGATGAGGAAGCGGAGGCTCGAATGAATCAGAGCAGCAAGTGGGAGAGCTGGGCCTTGTGTCCAAGAGGCAGCTGTATGGAGCCTGCACTCTCAGGCTCTGTAGTCAGCAGGCGCTTGCTTCAGTCCTGGCTGGACCACCTACCAGCTGTCTGAGTCCCCCTGTCTGTAAAGTGGGGGTAATCATTACAGTTACCTCGTCAGTGTGTTGGAGGATTAAATTTACACCCATTGCAGGAAGCACTCCATCAGTGTTAGCTGTTATTACTATTTACATAAGCGGTTCTCAACCTGTGGGTCGCGACCCCTTTGGGGGTTGAACGACCCTTTCACAGGGGTCGCCTGAGACCATTGGAAAACACATATATAATTACATATTGTTTTTGTGATGAATCACTATGCTTTAATTATGTTCAATTTGTAACAATGGAATTGGGGGTCACCACAACATGAGGAACTGCATTAAAGGGTCGCGGCATTAGGAAGGTTGAGAACCACTGATTTACATGATCCCAAACCCACTCGTGTGACCCTTTTCTCTCTGCCTTCCACGAAGCGGGTGGTAAAGTCACCTTGGTTCTTGGATTGAGTGCTTCCCATGTCCTTCGCCCTGTGCCTGATGCCCAGAGGGGACAAGGGGATCCATTGGTCCCAAGCCCATGGCAGCCTGGGACACTGCAGGGCTGGCTGGCGCGGGGAGACCCTGAGCGGTGGGCTGGGAGCCCTGGGCAGGGCACGGGGTCGAGAGCCTTCGCCCCTGCTCAACAGCAGATGCAGAAGACCAGGCTCCTTGGGGTGGTGGTGCCATGGCTGCTGGTTTGGATTACGGAGCAGCATGGCCTTGGAGGCGTAACCTTATTAGAGGAACGTGGCCAAGCACACAGGCCTGGAATGAGTTTGCTCAGTTAGTAACCGAATCTGGGCGCTGTTGCTGAGCTGGACCATGCGCCACCCATCCGTCCAGCCAGGATTTACTGGGCGCCAGGCACCGCCAGGGCCTGCCAGACATGTGACCCCCCTGCACCCCGGTGTCTCCCTTCCTCCTCCCTGTGACTCTCTGGCCGCCCTCTCTGCTTCCAGAAGTACCTCCGAAGGCGCAAGTATTCCCTCTTCGCGGCCTTCTACTCAGCGTCCATGCTGCAGGACGTCGACGATGCCATTCAGTTCGAGGTCAGCATCGGGAACTACGGCAACAAGTTCGATAACACCTGCCTGCCGCTGGCCTCCACCACCCAGTACAGCCGGGCGGTCTTTGACGGTGAGGCCAGAGGCCACGTGCCTGGATGGAGCCCAGATCCTGGAGGGGGGTCCGGGCCCTATGTCCTGCCTCCCATTCGAAGTTGCCAGAGGTCCACTCGAGGGCCTGTTGGGGGGGGACCCTCTGCTGGCTCCCCCTGTGCCTCCTCCCCCATCACCTTCCAGGGGTCCCCGCTGCCAGGACCCACAGATTGGTTTCCCCAAACTGGCTATAGTGAGCCTTGATTCTGACCTGTGGGGTCATTGATCACCTGGTGGCTGTGGGGCTTGGCGTAGAGAAGGTAGAGAATGCGGGTTCCCAGCATCCTTCCAGCAGCCCCCCTGCTTGGCTGCGTGAAGGAGCCCCCGTGAGAGCAGCGGCTGTCCTCAGCCCCGAGGGGGAGCGTGGGCACCTTGTCTGGACCCTGGGAAACACTGTCACACGCATGTGTGTCCCACGGAGTTCTCAGTGGGGAGGGGGAGCAGGGGCCGGAACCCACCCCACCCTCGGCCCCCTCCCCCCAGCCCTGCACCCCTGGCTCAGCACCAGGCCCTCTGTGTCCCGCCAGGCTGCCACTACTACTACCTCCCCTGGGGCAACGTGAAGCCCGTGGTGGTGCTGTCGTCTTACTGGGAGGACATCAGCCACAGGATCGAGGCGCAGAACCAGCTGCTCAGGATCGCTGACCGGCTGGTGAGTGGAAGCAGCCTGAGCCTGCACCCCCACCGTGGGCGTCCTCACACCGGCCCCCGCGGGTGCACACACTCACCTGCAGCTGTGCCTGGGTCCCCGGGTCCTCACGGGGCCAGGCTGTGGTCCTGTCCTGCAGACGGGGAAGAGAGGACAGGGAGTGAGAACTATGCCAGGGGAGCCCTCAGTCTGATGGAGAAGACAGCACAGAAAAGGAGCCGAGAGAGGCTGAGCGAGGAGCAGGACAGACAGAGCCTGGCGCCCGCTATATTCGTTCATCCTTTTGTCAGATGCCTTTGACCGTCATCACAGAAAGGACTTGTGCTAGAAACGTCCAGATAGAAGTTAGACATGAACAAGAAGCTGACCTGCCTTCAGGGAGTCAGTTCAGTGCGGGGAGCCTGGGCTCACCCACACAGAAGTCCTAAACTTCAGGAGTAGCAGGGGCTCCGGGTGGGAGGGCCTGGGAGCATCAGGGAGGCATCTCAGAGCCGCGAGGGGGGAGCAGGAGCCCGGGAAGGGCACCGTGGCAGTGGTCCAGGGGAGAGTGACCAGCACTGGGAAGGAGATGACCTGGGTGGAAATTCCTAGGGCTTGGGCTAGGAGGCCCTGGGAGTCTATTGGATGAGGGAAGGGGGAGGACTGGGAATTAGGAAGTCAGGAGAGAGGCAGGTGGTAAATCCTGATTTAGATGCTACCAGGGCTTTGCCCGTGGAGGCTGGGTGCGGCCGGCTTGGTGCTGGGCCGGAGAGTGGAGGGGAATCACAGTGGGCAGAAGCGTAGAGGCCAGGGTGGGAGCCGGTGCTCTGGCGGTGGCCCAGGCCGTTCCTGTGTGTGCATGTGGTGGAGGCTCACCCACAAGGCACGTGGCCCGTGGGAATGAGGAGGCAGGTGTGGCCACACTGCTGGAGCAGGTGAGGAGCAACGCTGGAGGGAAGGGGTGTGGAAGGCTCGGGCACACCTGTGGGTGAGGAGGTGAGCGCAGCGAGGAGGGAAGGTGGACGAGGAAGGGGAAGGCGGGGTCTTGGAGTGGCTGGGCGAGGATACAGGCCCAGGTGGAGGGCCGTGGGGGCCCACACCGTCCCTGAGACTGGCAAACTGCGAGGTGCAGGAGGACTTGGCGTCGATGCCTTTTAAGTCCAACTCCGTCCTCTGGGTCAGCCATCCTCCCCTAGGACAGTCCCTGAGGGTGGGAACTGTGTTCTTTCCAGGGCCCGTCCTGCCTGGTGGTCCCAGGGAGGAGCACATGCCAGGAGGCTGGGCTGGGGAGGGCGTGGGGGGCTGAGGGACAGGGCTGGCCTGGTGGGTGCTCTGTGGGAGATCTCTGCCTCCCAGCTCAGGGCTGAGGCTCGGGAACAGGCTGATGAACCCCTGGCACGACCCGGCCATGGGAGTTTGTAGGATGGGAGCGCTGTGATGGGAGGTTTCTGAGTGCTCCCGAGGCAGGGAGGCCGTGCCCTGAGCCTGGCCGGGTGGTAGGGTTTGTAAGGAGAGAGCATCCTAGGCAGGAACCGGAGGGGCTCAGCAGTCACTCACCCGTGAGACAGCGGACCTGGCTTGAAGGGGCCTGTGAGGAGCTGCACGCAGCACCTAACCTCCTTGTGACCACGTGCGCCCCAGGTTGGAGCCCCAGGTTCAGAAGTTGGATCAGTTGGGTATGGGAGCCCTGGGATGTTCTTGAGCCAGGACACACCCTGATTTGTCGGGTCTCGTCTTTGCTCTAATGCTCTCCTCTTTGGCTCAGGGCCTGGGGGTGGTGACGGGGCTTGGGGCTGGGGTCCACGGTGCACCCGGGCCCTGCAGTGACCGTCTTGACTCTTGCCCGCCTTTCCCCAGGAAGCCGGCCTGGAGCAAGTCCACTTGGCCCTGAAGGTGCAGTGCTCCTCCGAGGACATGGACGCCCTGGTGGCTCAGCTGATGGATGAGCTCATCGCAGACTGCAGGTAGGGGTGCCCGGCACCCACGCCCACCCTCCTGACGCAGCCAGGCCCTGTCCCGGGAGTGTTCGTGGGTGGCGGTGAGCGGCGGCACGTCTCCCGGCCCTGCCTGGCCAGCAGTCCAGCCATGCTGAGTCCAGAGGTGGCGGAGCCAGCGCGGGGAGTTGAAAAGGTGACATTTAGAGCAGGTCATAAATCTCCCTGCAGCAGCGGCAGCTGTGGGCCCTGGGCGGCCGCTCACCTGAATGGGGAGCATTGTGTCTCTGATCCCCGACCTCTTATTTCCCTGATGGAATCTGCAGGAGGAGCGGGCTGGGGGGAGTGACGGCGGCGTCCCTCCTTCCCCCAAGGCCATGTCGGGGACCAGGGTTTCTGTTTGGCCGTCTATTGACGTGGCTGATGGTCAGGAAAAGGGGGCCTTGGGTGCTGGAGAACAGGGGCTCTGAGGCCCGGGAGACGGTGCACCTCAGCATCTCCTCCCCGTTCGGCCGCGACTTGGGGCTCACCACCCACCTGCTCTGGCCTTGGTTTCCTGGTCTTTAACGGACACGGAGAATAACTAACTGTAATAGCGCACACACAAGGCGCCCGGCCCATGTTTAACACACGGTAACTGTGATTATTATTAAGAAGCAGCGCTGTCAGGAGATGTAGGTTCTTGTCCCTTTCACCAGCCCTGCAGCTCTGGGCAGCTTCACTTCTCCGGACCTTAGTTTTCTCAGCTGTTACAGGGACCTGACAGCAAAAAGTGGCCTTTCTGCTTCCTACGGAGTCAAGTGTGAACATGTGCACATGCGTTCTGTGTGCCTCTCAGTCCTGTCAGCCCACCCCCTAGGGAAGGTGTGACCAGTGCCTTCATGCGGGGACCTGGGTCACCTTCCCGCCACCCGATGCAGCGTCCTCCTAGTCCAGTGATGGCGAACCTTTTGAGCTCGGCGCGTCAGCATTTTGAAAAACCCTAACTTAACTCTGGTGCCGTGTCACATATAGAAATTTTTTGATATTTGCAACCGTAGTAAAACAAAGACATATTTTTGATATTTATTTTATATATTTAAATGCCATTTAACAAAGAAAAACCAACCAAAAAAATGAGTTCGCATGTCACCTCTGACACGCGTGTCATAGGTTCGCCATCACTGTCCTAGTCCTTTGTACCTCGGCTGGGAAGGACCAGGACAGCCATTTCCCCAAAGAATCGCCTCCCTCTCCCCGCACCCGTGGTGGGATTGCAGGCCGGTCAGTCCTTCATGCCCCAGCCTTCCTGAAGGCTTGCACGCGGAGCAGGTTGACAAGGGGCAGCGTTAGCCCTCACGTGACTCACGCGAGAGTGAGCAAATGCTGTCAGGTGTGTCGGGTTGGAGGCATGTGCTATAGGAGCTCAGAGCAGGTGCGTGTAACTCAAGTCTAATGTGGATGCTTCCTGCGGGAGGGGCTGCCCGATGTGAACTCTGAAGGGGGGGGACCAGGAGTCAGCCCTGGAGAGAGGGTCCCCCAGGCAAAGGCAGAGAAGCCTGAAGTGCCTGCTGCCTCTGGGAGGGGATAGTCACCAGGCAGCTCAAGCCCAAACGAGACAGGCCTCAGGGGTCCCCGAAGGGGGACTCAGCCTTGGGACCTGTCTGGGAGCACAGAGGTCCCCATGGTTCAGATGCTCACTGTGGCTGCAGTTCAAGGGATGGGCTGGTGGTGGTGATGGGAGATTGGACCAGGCAACACAGAAGGAGGGACTCTGGGAGGGGAGGGGGCAGAGGGCAGCAGAGGGCAGCGTGGACTATGCAGGAGGCATCAAGACGACAGCAACCCCAGAAAGAGCAGGTTCTGTGCCAGGTGCTGTCCTAGAATTTTGCACGTATGAGCTAATCACAACAACCTTATGGGGTAGGAAGTAGAATGATCCCCATTCTACAGAGGAGGAAACAGACCTGGAGAGGTTAATTAACTTGGCCAGATTGACACCCCTAGTAGGTGGCTGAGCCCCTTGGTGCTGTACTGCTCCTTAAGGACAGGACATGATGGGGGATTGGCTGTGGGGGCCCAAGGAAGGTGGAGCATGATCCCCTGGCTCTGGCCAAGGCAGCTGGGTGGATGGAGGGCTGGTCCAGAGAGGTCAGCAGGAGAAGCAGCTTTTGGAGGAAATAAATTCAGGGCTGGCCATGTGGAGTGAGAGGTGCCCGTGGGATGCCCGTCTGTGATCTGGAGGTCAGAGGGCAGAGGGAGGCTGGAGGGGCACACAGGGACACGGCCACCATGGGGAGGGCCTCAGCGGGCCTCTCTGTGCCCCACTGGCCGGGCCTGCCAGTTGGGGTGCGGAGGTGGGCCAGGGCCCCGCTCATGACTCACTCGTTGTGTGGACCTTGGCAGGTCTGAGGTGCCTGAAACATCTCAGACGAGTGGACCCAGTGCGGGGCTGCCCTTGCTGCCCTCGCAGGTTCTCGGAGGATTTGGCTAAAAACGCTCCTGCTAAAGCCTGGTCCCCTCGAGCCACTGTCCTCAGGACAGAGTGGGCCTGGGGCCTCGAGGCACTGGTCCCAGGTCAGGAGCTCTGGAGGAGGTTCTCACCCTCTGAGGAACCCAGGAACGGCTCTCCCTCACCAGACTGACTCCCTCAGGCTCCACCCGAGGCCCCCACCAGCCCCAGGGCCACAGCAAGGGGGATTCCTTCCCCTTTGGCTCTGTGCTGTGCGTCATCACAGCAGGGCAGCCGGGTCCGGGTCCCGAGCCAGCTCGCCATGGCTGACCCTGGCTGCTCACCCCTCCTCAGCCAGCCCTGCCCCTGCCCCTGCCTCCACCATGTCCTTTGTTCCATCGGACCCTTTTCCTGCCTCCTCTCCCTGGGAGCCCCTCTCCCCCCACGGCCAGTGGTGCTCACCCTGTGCTTCTGGCCCAGCCCTCTCGTCTCATCGCTAACCCGACTGCCCACCCCACCTCTCCACTGGATGTCCTGCAGCACGTTCAGTGCATTCCCTGATCTTCCTAAAACGGTGCCCGGCTCCTCCACCTCAGCCCTGCGGTGTCTCCCGGTTAGGAAAAGTCCCGGCTCTTACCCTGGTGGACAGTCTCTCTGTCCCCACTCCCTGCCTTGCGGGCCCCAGGGATCCTACACCTGACCTCTTCAGAGCCACCCTGCACATGCTCCCTCCTGCCCCTGAGGTTTCGTCTTGTGCATATACGGCTCCTTCTGCTAGAACACCCTTCCTGCTCTTGTTGGCCTGACAGGTGCAGCGAGGGGCCACTTCCTCCAGGAAGTACTCCTGACTCCGAGGCTGCTCAGTGGGGGCTCCCTGAAGGCAGGGCTGGACTCAGCCAGGACCAGCAGAGCTGCTGCTCCTGAGGAGTGAATGAATGACCCTGTGGCCAGTTCATCTTTCAGGCTGGACCCTGCTGCCTCCCTGGCGGCACCCACTCATGGCAGGGACGGGGCAGGGGCAGGGGCAGGGGCAGGGGCAGGGGCAGGGGCAGGGACAGGCAGCCACGTGTGAGCAGCTCAGCTCTGTTGTCAGCCTGTGCTGCGCCTGCCTACCATTTTCAGGTCGGCAGGGTCGGCCACAGCAAGCTGCCCCGGTTGGGGGTACAGTGTCATCCATACTCTTCTCCCAGGTCTCCCTTGCTTTCCGTACTCTCTGCCTTGGGCTTTTCTGGGGCAGGAAAGGTCTGAGGCGTCTCATGTTAGTGGCAGTCCCGGGTCCCAGCTGTTTCTTGGGGAGTCTTGGCGGGGCTGGTGGCCTCCGTGAAAATCTCCCTTTGGTGGTCTGTATGGCAGTCCCTCCCAGCTCCCGACGCAGGCTGGGAGCATAAATCACTCTGGTTGGCTCAGCAATCCAGATCCCACTCCAGACCCGCCTGCCCCCACCCTCAGGCCCTCTCCGGCCTCCTTCCCAGGCAGGACTCCGGCCCAGGCCCCCCTTTACCCACCGAGCATGCCCCTCCACCACGTTCCAGCGGGCTGGGGCTGGAGGGATGGCGGCCGTCCCTCTCCCGGCCGGGGGCAGCCCCATCCGAGGCACCCTCGGGGCAGTAAATATTATATTACTACAGGGTGTGCAGTACGTGACCTGAGACAGGTCCCGGGGCTTAAGTTTCCTGAGATGGAGTTTGCGTACTGCTCCCCCCACCCTAAAAATTCAATTAAAAAAAATAACAGGAAAAATGTAGTGCGCCGAGGGCCTGCCAGAGCGGTGTATCTGGCGGCGGCGGTGCCGCTGCGCTCCGGCGGTAATTGGTTCTGCATAGCTCGGGGAAATTGGCAGAAAAATAAATCAGCCGGGAGCCGGAGTCGAGACGCTGCCGGGAGGGGAGTATGAGGTGGGGGGGCTGCAAGCGGTGGGAGCAGAACTGGTGGAGCGGGTTTGACTGATGTCCTGTTTGGGAGTCAAGGGCTCAGCAGAGGTGGGGCAGCCCCCCATGCGCTCCAGCGGGGATCAGGGATCGTCTAGAGGGGCCTGCTGGTGAGGGAGGGCAGGGAGCTCCCCACTCCCCACCGCATCCTGCAGGACCCCGTGCGCGTACTGACTGACCTTGGAGGGGTGGTACGGTGAGGAGGAGCCGTAGGAAGGACTATTCGGGAGCCCAGTGGGATGGGGGGCGGTCAGAGTTCTTTGCCTCCAAACAGGATGGAGTTTAAATCCAGCCCCCCACTTGGGACCTAGGGCTGTGTTTCTGGGACTGTTTGCCCCCCCCCCCGCACAAAGGCTTCCTAAACAGAGGGTTCTGGGAGGGGTGTGTGGGGCTGCCCCAAGTCGACACATCTGTATTGCTGGCTGCCGGCCTCCCCACAGCGTCTGCAGTGGCTTGTCAGGGATCCATAAATTTCCTTCTTGAAGAAAGTGTGCGTACAACAGAATGGATTCGTTTCAGCCAAGGGCAACTTGGCGCTCAGGCCTCTGCTCTGGGAGGATGCAGGGGGCAGGGAGGAACCCCCCCTCCAAGTCCCCCCCTCCCCCGGGACTTCAGAGCAGTGGCCTGTGGGCCAGTGTGGTTGGGGAAGGCTTCCTGGAGGAGGTGAGGGCAGAGCAGGTTGCACAGAGATGACTGTGCAGGTGGGTCAGGCGGGAGAGGGTGCCCAGCAGGTGGGCTGAGGGTGTGATGCTTGTTGTGGGGCCTGTGCTCATATGTGTGTTCATGCATGTATGTGCCTGGACTGGGGTCTGCACCGGGCTCCTGCTCATCAGGTACATCCCATCTGTCCCTCACAGCCAGCCCCTGAGCAATGTCCAAGAGAGGCCCTCTGCCACCTACCTGGACCAGTACCTGTACAAGCTGCGCACCCGTCACCTGAGTCAGATCACCGAGGCGGCCTTGGACCTGAAGCTTGGCCACTATGAGCTCCCCGCTATCTTGGAGCAGGCTGAGGACTGGCTCCTGCGTCTCCGGACCCTGGCAGATGAGGTAGCTCACCCTGCAAGGCACCTTCCTTCCTGTCTGGGTCATCAGAATGGGGAGGGACCTGGGACTGTCTGGACCACGATCCAAGCCTGGCTCCATTGTTGAGTGACCATGAGCCAGTGACTTAATCTCTCTGAGCCTCCACGTCCCCATTTGTGGAAGGAGGAGAGAGTAAGCAACGGGAAACTGGATATTGCGGGGCCCAGCACAGAGCCTGGTGTGCTGTAGGTGCTCAATAAATGTCCCCACATGTGCATAAGAAATACTGACAAGGTGTTTCAGAGACAGAGCTGGGACCAGGACTCAGGGCGCCTGGCTCTAGGTCCAGTGCTGGGCCTGCTTTCCCGGGACCTAATGCCTTCTCCCTGCCAGCGCCCTGGTTTCCTGCCCTCTCGGATGCCTTTGAGCCCAGGCCCGAGGAGGCTGCATGTGCAGTAGCTCTGAGCATCGTCATATCTAATCAGAGAGAAGAGGCTCCAGTTCGTCTTCAGGGGCACCTTTCCCCACCCGCACCCCCCTCCCCTTCAGGGCAGATGCACTGGCCTGGTTCCTCGGGTGCCCAGACAGGACACAGATTTGTCTAGAATAGGACATAGGTCCACTCATGTCAGAGGCAGGCCAGCTGTTGCCCACTATGACCAGGGCCATGCAGGACCCCCAGGGAGGGGACGGTGATGGTTGGAAGGATCCCCCCAGGAGCGAGCAGAGAAGGGCAGGGCCTGCAAGGGGCTTCTGGAGGAGCGAGTTGTTGAAGGGGGAGGGAGGCCCAGGAAGTGGAAAGGAGACTCAGGAGGGGAAGGCAACCTGGGATGTGGGTCCCCGAGAGTCAGTTCCCGAGCAGGGTCTCAGGCATAGGCCAACTACATGGGGAACGCGTGTTGCTCAGCCACAGGCCGACCCCTCCCAGTGGCCATGGACTCTCTTCTCGGGCTGGTCAAGGCATGCCTCCCCAGATCATGGCCCAGACCGACCCCAGAACTCAGCACAGGTTGCGACAGGGCTTGGAGAGGTTCAGGTCAAACAGGTGCTGTTGACTGTATGGGAGCCCAGAGAGAATCTTTCTCAGATTTGAGTGCGCATCAGAATCCCCTGAAAAGCTCATTAAAACAGGTCACAGTCCCCCCCACCCCACCTCACATATCTGGGTGGAGCCTGGGAATTTGCATTTCTGTTCCGGGGACCACACTTTGAGAACCCCTGGACTTATGGTTAGCAACACGTTTTTGGAGTCAGAAAAACCCAGCTCCTAGCCTCGTGGAGCCTGAATTTCCTCACCTGGCACGTGGCTGCCTTTCTCTGCCTCCTGGGCTGCCGCAGGGCAGACGTGAACAAGGCCTGTGAAATGCTGAGCAAGTGCCGCAGGAGTCTGAGGCCCGGTCAGAGGCAGACCCAGCCTCCTCCCGGTGCACTTGGCTCACCAACCTTGGTAGAGATGGACCGTACCCCACCAACCACCTCCCCTCACAGCCAGAGGCTCCGAGGGCTCAGGGGCCTGGCAGTTTTGTTCTGAGCTAGTCACCATTCTCAGAGCCCACGGTCCCCAGGCCCAGTGAGAGTCGGCTCCCAGGGCCCCTGCTCTGGATGTGCTGCTGCTCCTGGGCGTGGGGAAGGGGACGGTGAGGAAGGGGGTGAGGAAGGAGGCAGTCATCTTAGGTGTAATGTCATCTTCCGGGTCAGATGGAATCCTCCATGTATGTCTATGCCGGGAGCATCCACCTACCCAGTGTGTGGAGGTGGGGCGGGCGTGGGGAATCTAAGAACGTAAGCTCTGGGCTCCAGGCAGGAGTGTCTTTTCCCAGAAAATGTGAACTCAGCTCAGTGATTTTTGGCAGGCTCCTCTGTGAGCCCGGGGCAGTCCCCTGTCCTGGGGACTCTTGGCTTCCGAAATCAGAGGTGCCCGGCTGAACCTGGGAGGCCACCGGGGTGGGGCAGGGGTGGGCATCTGGGGATGGAGGCCGGGGAGAGACCTGTGCGGGCCCTGAGCCAGGGTGGTCAGCTCATGGGGTGCGGGCCCAGGCGGGTCACGGTCCCCACCCTGACGGCCACCTTCTCTCAGCCCCAGAACAGCCTGCCCGACATCGTGATCTGGATGCTGCAGGGAGACAAGCGGGTGGCGTACCAGCGGGTGCCCGTCCACGAGGTCCTCTTCTCCCGGCGGGGCGCCAGCTACTGTGGCAAGAATTGCGGGAAGCTGCAGACGATCTTCCTGAAAGTGGGTTCTTTCTCCTCAAGTTACGGCCACATTTTCTCAGCCCCAGGCCTGTCCCTGTCCTCTTCCCTTTCCCCTCCGGTTCTCTCTCTGCCTCTGAGTCCGAGGACTCCGCTCTTGGAAAGGGCCGAGGGCTTTAGGTAAAACTCCCTCCCTTCTCCTCCCTCTCACAGGGTTCCCTAGACCTCACACACCCGCCCGGTCCAGAGCGTGAGCAGGGAGAGCAGAGCCGGCCCCTGAGGCTGTGCTTGTCCTCCAGCCTCTAAGGCAGTGGTTCTCAACCTTCCTAATGCCCTGACCCTTTAATACAGTTCCACATGTTGTGGTGACCCCCAATTTCATTGTTACAAATTGAACATAATTAAAGCATAGTGATTAATTACAAAAACAACATGTAATTATATATGTATTTTCTGATGGTCTTAGGCGACCCCTGTGAAAGGGTCGTTCGACCTCCCAAGGGGTCGTGACCCACAGGTTGAGAACCGCTGCTCTAAGGCCCCTGACACAGACCTGCCTCCATCCCTGCCTGAATGTCTTCCACTCCAGCTGGGGCCTCAGGGCAGCCATGGCCCAGTGAGGTTCAAGTTCCTCCCTGTGGGAAGGCTGGTGTCTGGGCACCAGGTGTCCCCATGGCTCTGCCCCACCAGAGAGCCGGGAGCAAGTCTCCTGCCCACCAGTATCACCCCACCCCCGCTCCCTTTGTGTCTCTCCTCCTCTAACACCCGTCCTTGCTCCCTCTCCGTCTTCCCTCAGGGGACTGACCTGACTAGCCCAGGGTGACAGGGAAGTGAGTGGGTACCTGGGGACCCTCCATCCTCTCTCTGGGTTAATGTGGGGACATGGAGCCAAGGCTGCTTTGGTCTGGGGACTGTGGCCTGGTGGTCAGGACATAATTTGGGGAAATTCCTCCCTGTGCCATGGCTGCCCTGGCGCAAGGGGAGGGTCCCTGTTGGGATGGCTGTCATTGAGGCTGCCCTGCTAGAGGAGGGGTGGCCTTGGGAAGCAGGCGAACCCCTTACCACTTACTATTGGCTCCAGATGGCCCTGTTGGCATTATACACTGCCTGGCTTTCACCTTACCCTGCCCCTGTCTCCTCCCAGCGCACCAGGACCCACCCCCACCTCACCTCTTCCAGGTCATTGTTGGCTAACCTCAGCCTCACACCTCTGAGTGGCTGCTGGTCAACTCGTTCATATATTGGCCGATCATTCTTGTCCCGGCCTGGGGTGGGTGGAGAGGACAGGTTTCAAAGGCGCAGTGTGAGTGGACAGGTGGCGGGGCTGGCTGGACTCCTGTGTGGCCGTAGGCAGATCTCCTGAGCTCTCTGAACTGCTGGCCGTCTTCTCACCTGTAAATGAAGGTCAGGCTGCCTGCTTCATAGGTTTTGAGAATGGAATTAGGTAACACAGGTCACGGGTCTTGCTGGAGCTTGGTGGTCAGTGAATGTTAGCTTCTCTCCCCGCTTCTCCCCTTTTCCTTGGGAGCCCCCTGGCTGCCTGGGGAGAGGAGGCTCCATGAGCACCATGCCTGGAGGTCAACCCAAAGTCAGGGATGAGCAGACATCTGCACGTGGAGAATTGATACCTCGGATGAGAGGCAGTTTTGCCTAGAAAGAGGGTGGGAGGTGTGTCAGGCAGTGGGCTTCCCCTCCCACCTGCTCACAGGCCACCCAGGGCTCGTCCCCCTTGAGATCTTTCCCTGAGCCAGCTCCTCGCCTGGCAGGAGAGAAGGGACAGGAAGTCAAGGAGCGGCCACATCTGAGTGGGGCTACCCAGGGAAGGCTGTCTGGCTGGAGCGGAGGTGGGGTGGCGGAGGGCGCCTGGGGGACATGCTCCAGGCTTTGACCTCTCGGCCCTGCAGCCTTGGGGAAATGCAAACTGAAAAATTTCCCTGATTCCAAGCAGAGGGAAAAAAAAAGATATAGAATTGTTTCTCGAAGTCTTCCCCACTGAGTTTATGAGCCCTGCCAGTAGCTCCTGAGCAAGCTCTACAAAAATGTTGGCAGCAAGCAGAGACCAAGAAAACATTGGTGTTTCTTAACTTAAACCAAAGTTGGAAAAAATGAGCACCAGCAGAGAGGGAGAGGAGCCCCAAACTAGACATTTCTTTATTTGCTGTTGCTATTTTGGGTCCGGCAGGCTGGCCCCGTCTGGGGGAGGGCAGGGGAGAGACTGGGGGTGGCGGGGGAAGGGGGGGTCAGGCATTCCTGCCATGTCCCTGGGGCTGGTGGTTTGGAGGGGAAAAGGCTGCTAACCACCCCAGGGAGAGGACAGCTGAAGAGAACAGTCATGGGCAGGTTTCCAGGGGGGTGACACTTGGGGTCACGGGCTGCTCCAGGCTTCATTGAGGATGAACCTTAGCAGAGAGGCTGGGGGAAGGGTGAGAGCGTCATGGCCTTGGCCTGGCACCCCTTCCCCAGTCTCTTACCTGGACGGGCGCTCTGTCTCCAGCATCCAGGCCTCCTCCATCAGGGAGGCCCCTTACCCCGGCCTCTCTTTCCCCTTCTCAACCCATCAAAATCACTTTCTTGTCTCATTCTGCTCCCTGTCTCAGAGGAGTTACTGCTCCCAGCTCAGGTACATGAAGCCCAGGCACTAATACATTCCTTCCTCTAAGGGACAATGCAATGTGTTTCTCTAAGGGTGAGGCACTCCTGCCCCGCAGGCCATATCTGACCCTGATTTCAATCAAACGGTGAAGTAGTTGGGGAGAATACATCTCCTGTGTTGGGACACTGTGGTTATTCCCTTTTGGCAGAGCTTGTGAAAGTTTCAGGCTAAAAAGACCAATGGATAGTGGTTAACAATGCTGATGAGCACTTGAAAGGGTAGAGGTATCAGATGATACACTCACATCCAGCCAAGAAAACCCCAGAAAAACAGACAAACAAACAAACAAACAAATCCAACTGAAAACGAAGGGGGAGGCTTTAACCTCTTCACCGTCCAGACCTGGATCATCGTATCTCCTTTAGAGACTTCCTAGAACTGCATTCTCCAATATGGTGGCCATATGTGCTGTTTCAATCTAAATTAATGAAAATGAAATAAGCCCTGGCTGGCTGGCTCAGTTGGTTGGAGCATTGCTCCAGACACTAAAAGGTTGCGGGTTTAATTCCCAGTCAGGGCACATACCTGGGTTGTGGGTTTGATCCCTGATTCTCTCACACTGATGCTCCTCTCTCTGTCTCTGTTTCTCTTTCTCTTTCCCTTTTTCCCTTTCTCTCTCTCTCTCTCTCTCTCTCTCTCTCTCTCTCAGCAATAAAAACATATCCTTGGGTGAGGATTAAAAAAATGAAATACAACTAAAAATTTAGTTCTTCAGTCACACTAGCTACAGTTTAAGTGGTCAGTTGCCACATGGACTGGTGTCTACCATATTGGGCCACGTAGATAGAAATCATTACCATTGTAGCAGAACATCGCATGGGACCGTGCTTCCTAGAAGAGAACAGAAATGAGGATGAGGCGGGAGAGGAGAGAATGGGGGATGCTGGTCTCTGTAGAGAGCATGTAGGTGGTGGTAGGGGGGTGCAGTCTTCTCCTTTGATGGGAAGGAATCTTGGCAGGTGAGGAGAAGGTATTTGATAATCACACACATCTCTTCCATGAAATGCTGGTAAGTCCTTTGACAGGGCACACACCTAATGGGGTGTCAGGCTGGTATGCCCACTCCCGTAGGCCTCCTCTAGTTGGGTTTCTGTTCTTCTCTGTACCCAGTATCCGATGGAGGATGTGCCCAGAGTCCGGATGCCAGTGCAGATACGGGTGAAGCTCTGGTTCGGGCTCTCTGTGGATGAGAAGGAGTTCAACCAGTTTGCCGAGGGCAAGCTCTCCGTCTTTGCTGAGACTGTGAGTGCCTGCCACCCTCCCCATGCTCCCTCCCCCGCTTAGCTGCCACCGGACCCCACTCACTCCTCTACTGCTTGCTCTCCAGTATGAGAACCAGACCAAGCTGGCCCTGGTCGGGAACTGGGGCACGACGGGCCTTACCTACCCCAAGTTTTCTGATGTCACGGGCAAGATCAAGCTACCCAAGGACAGCTTCCGCCCCTCGGCCGGCTGGGCCTGGGCTGGAGATTGGTTCGTGTGTCCAGAGAAGACGTGAGTTGTGGGTAGGGAGGGCTTGGGGACCCCTCCGCCTCAGCCCTTTTCCTGAAAGGCCTCGGCCTTTTTCATTCCTCTGCCTGCTCCCCCCACCTCTGCCCTGATCGTAGGGACCTCCACCCGAACCCCCAGAACCGGGGCTCACTAGCAGCATTTGTCTCTGGAAGGGCTCTAACCACCGGAAGGCTCTTTATTATTAAATCAGAGTTGGCCTCCGTCAGACTTTGCATTTGACTTTGCTCCTGTTGGTTGCAGCCTTTCCTCCAAGACACCACAGAAAGCCGCTTCCTCCTCCTGCGTTAACTCCCCTTGTGCCCGACCGAGGCCCTTTCTTCCTCGGTATTTCTCAGAACAGCATCATCCTTCTCCACCTCACTATCTGCCTCTTTCTCCTCTCTTCCAGCTGGGTTGACATTCAGCAACTGTTTCTTTTAAACGTTAAAAACATTGAAGTATGATTTGTATTGTACTCAGCTATTAAGCATACAGCTTGATAACATTTCCCATCTCTATAGTTACCCATCGAGCTTCAACTACCCCCAGGCTTAGGTGTCTTCAGTTGGTCTTTCTTTTTCTTGGGGGCGATGTATTCATCTGCCCTTGAGTGTCCCTAGGTCTCTCTGGTCTCCTTCCTCTCTCTCCCCATGCTCCTGACCCCTCCTCACTCTCTCCCTCTGCCTGTCTTATTGTGGGTTGGGTGAGGCTGATGCAGGAAGGTTGGCCCAGGCCTGGGCTGCTCTGCTGGAGGCTGTGGGTGGATGTGGGGGCAGGGGGTCCCTTCAGCAGAGGCGCTGACTGTCCCCCGCCCACAGCCTGCTCTATGACACTGATGCGGGCCACCTGAGCTTCGTGGAGGAGGTGTTTGAGAACCAGACCCGGCTCCCTGGAGGCCAGTGGATCTACATGAGTGACAACTACACGGACGTGGTAAGGGGGTGCTCCAGGCAGGGGGTTCCGCTTTCTTGGATCCTGTAAATTGGGGCCTGAGAGGGACCTGTGAGTCAAAGAAGGGCAGGACCTTTTCTCTCTTGCTCCGATGTCCCCAGCCTCTGTGCTTCGGTTACCAGCGGGACAGTGTGAGGTCCGGCTCGGGTAGGACTCGACCTGAGTCACACCTGGGCGTTGAGAGCATATGTTGTCAAGTGGCATCTTCCCAGCCTCCCTGCTCACGCCCGTCTCTCCTCATGCTTGCCTGTCCCTTGCTGCCCAGAATGGGGAGAAGGTGCTTCCCAAGGAGGACATCGAGTGCCCTCTCGGCTGGAAGTGGGAAGATGAAGAGTGGTCCACCGACCTCAATCGGGCCGTGGACGAGCAAGGTGGGTGGCGCATGGAACCCGGTGAGCCCCACCCTGGCGAGCTCACAAGGTGTGCGGGTGAGGACAGCTGAGTGCAGGGTGCCTTGGCCTGGGGACTTCCTGGGTGAGCCCTCCCTGCAAGCTACCGGCTAGGAGTCAGTGGCCGCCAGTGAGTCTGTGAGCATGCCCCACCTGAAGAGATAGCTCTGCAGAGATGGAGAGTGGCCGGGCCATGAGTGATGGGTGCCCCTCCCCCAGGCTGGGAGTACAGTATCACCATCCCTCCGGACCGGAAGCCGAGGCACTGGGTCCCTGCCGAGAAGATGTACTACACCCATCGTCGGCGGCGCTGGGTCCGCCTGCGCAGGAGGGACATCAGCCAGATGGAGGCGCTGAAGAAGGTGAGCCCAGGGGATGGTGGGTGGGAGTGAGGTCTTGGTGCGGGAAGGCAAGCTGGGAACACACACACACAGGTGTACAAAGGACATGTATAAGGCACATGAGCTCACTGGAGATGCTCACGGATCACACTCAGCACATGCACACATCACACCCAGCACAAACACAGATACACACGGATCACAAGTAGCACACACACAGATCACATATTACACCTAACACATGCAATATCACACCCCCCACACTCAGATCACATTCAGCACATGCACATCCCACACCTACCACACACAGTGTCACACCCAGCACTCACACTGCATATGCACACACCTGCTCCAGAGTCCCACAGATGCCCATATCTGCACAGCCCAAGAGAATGCCTCCCCGGCCGCTGGTCTGTGCCCTTCCTTCCCAAGCACACATGGAATTGTACCCCAAGAACCAGGTCTCCCCAGTGCAGGAGTAGCTTTTGGCAGGACCCATGTCCCTTCCTCCCTTTGGGCACAGACAGTCTGGAGACAGATGTCGGTCGCTGGGGTCCAGGGGAAGGCAAGGCTCTTGGGCAACAAGCTGTTCGTGGTGCCTTGAAAGGACAGACTTCACTCTCTGTGAAGGGGCCCCGGGGGACAGAGGTGAAGGCTCGCCAGGCAGTGTGCCTCACTCCCTCACCACCAGGGTCCCTCCTAGACAGGGCGACGCTGGCCCCTAGGACTGGCCCTGGTCACTGAGCTCATGGCCCAGATCTGGGGCAGTCACAGGCCACCCTTTATCGGGAGCTGGAGAGGAAGGGGTTTCCAGGCCCCCCTCCACGCTCAGTAAAGGGGAGAGCGGGGGTCCCTCCATGGCTGACCTAGGCCCAGCGTCAGGGGAAGAAAAGCTGGGCTGGGAACTGAGATCTTCATTTTGCCTCTGCACTGCAGACCCACTTCCATTTTAGAAGCTGGGATGTGAAGAAACAAAAGGAAACGACAAGACAATCTTGGACTCACGAAATCCACCCAAAATCCAAACAAACAAACAAACCCGAAGCTCAGTCATCACCACCTCAGTCTACCTTCCCTTCCTGGCTCCTCAGTTCTCCCCACAGCCTAGGGCGTATCTTTCCCTCCTGGTGTTCTGACCCAGAGTCCTTGTCACTGCAGAAGCTGCTCAGAGGGTTCCCCCTCCAGGCAGCCCTCCGGGTTTTCCCATCTAGAAGGTGCTGGTGTGAGGTGGGAGGGGAATTGTGGAGGGCAGGAAGGGCGCAGCTGGAGCTGAGCCCAGGACTCCCTGCAGGCCCGCCAGTGGCCTCTGAGTCTGCCCTGTTCTCCCCTCGCAGCATAGGCAGGCAGAGGCCGAGGGCGAGGGCTGGGAGTACGCCTCGCTCTTCGGCTGGAAGTTTCACCTGGAGTACCGCAAGACGGACGCCTTCCGCCGCCGCCGCTGGCGCCGCCGCATGGAGCCGCTGGAGAAGACGGGGCCTGCAGCTGTGTTCGCCCTCGAGGGGGCCCTGGTATGTTCCCTGCCCACCGGGCCTGGGTCGGGTGGGGTGCGGCTGGGGTTCTCAGAGCTGTTCAGGGCTGATGCAGAGGAGGCAAGGGCCCCAGGATAGAACCTTGGACGGAACATCGACCAGGTGTTGTGGCTTCGGGTCCTCTGGGGCTGCATGTGGAGAAAGTGGACACAAGTCTCAGTGTCTTCCTACCATGAAATTGCTCCTGTTCTGGCACCAGAAGACCTGCTGCTTCTGTGCATAGTCAAGATGGTCTGCCTTGTGCCTGGAGCCGAGGGACCCATTCTTCTTGAAGAGGCTGGCATGGGCTGTGCTGGGGAGGCTTTGGCCTAACCTATGGGCGTAGCCAGAGAGGTCTAATGACCCCAGAATTCCTTGGTTGGATCTGAGTGTCCTGGGACAGGCCATTGTGTCCCTAGGAATTTTGGGAGAGATGTGCCTCCAAAACTGAGCCCCAGCCCGGCTGTCCTGCCCAGTGCACACTTTCTGGAGCCAGTGGAACGGGGGTCAGCTCAAGGTTATCCAGGGTCTGCATGATGTGTTCCCCCAAAGAGATGAGCAGGCCCTGCCAGGATATCTGAGTGGGGACATTCAGGGCTAGGATATGTCCTGTTCCCTGCTCTGTTGGCCTGGGGGGTCCTGGAGATGGAGTGAGATGTCCAGGATGAGACACCCCCCTCCAAAATCCAGCCACAACTGCCCACCCCCTGAGCTGGGGGGCTTTGGTTGTGACCCTGGGAGCAGGCTCTACCAGCTGTGCTGGCTGATGGAATCTGAGCGGGTTCGTGTGCAGCCAGCTGTGCGTGTGCACATGTGCGTGTGGGTATTTGGTTGGGGTGAGGAGCTTTGAGTCTTAACCCTGGGCCAAGGCTAGGTACCCATTTGTGGGGCAACGCAGCTACAAGGGCTGGGGAAGTAGAATGGGGCAGGGCAGGGGGGTAGAATGGGGTGGGGCTGGGGAGTACAGGGGGCAGTTCTGTGACTCCCTCTGTCTTGTCTGAAAGGCACAGGGCAGGGCCTGGCTGTGGTCTGTGGCTCCAGCTGGGGATTCGGGGCATAAAGACTGTGGCAGACCTAACAGTCAGGGCCAGGCCGAGGAGGCTGGGCAGGCACCTAAGGATCCAGGACTTGTTTTCTTCAGTGGAAACGCACCTCAAATGCCTAAAGGAAGAAGAAGAGTTTCAGGGCTCAGATGGCTAGACAGAGCCCAAGAGATGAATGAGGCATTAGTTTGGCGGGAAATGGGTCCATGCAGTGTCCCAGGACTATGTTTCTAACGTGGTCTCCTGTTTGGTCTCGTTCACACACCGGCTCCGTCCATGTGATAGCAAAGATGGCACCTGTGACAAAAGGCTGATGTCATCTTTATTACCAGCAAAGCCCTGCTGGATAGAATAGCTCGGCCCTCCCGGCATCCTCTGTTTTGCTCACACTGGAGACCGCGAGGAGAGGAGAATGCCACTCTCTTAATAGCACCAGTAGCCGTCCCGTGTGGCTGACTGGCCCCGGAGCCTGGGTGAGGATCAGCGTGTTCTGATTGGCCGTCCGGGGCCAGGCGCTTTTTCTGTGGTTGACAGCATCACCAGGTGGGGGAGAGGAAAAGAAAACCCCAAAGAGTGCTGGGCAAAGAGCTACAGATGATGACCACGGACCCTATTCAGTGAGCAGCAGGAGCCAGAGTGGGCTGCTGAGCGGAATGTGCTGGTCAGAGCTGGGCTTCAGGACCAGTAATGAAGGAGCTGTGGAGGCTGGTTGGAGGGAGAGCCTCCCATCAGGAGACCATCAGGAATCTGGGTTAGGACCCAGGACACCATGGCCATGTGGGATGGGGGCTGTGGACCAGAGTGGAAGTGGAGTGGCAGGGCCTGGGGAGGAAAGGGTCACATGGGCTCAGAGGCCCTGCTGGGTGCACAATGGGGCGATTCCCATCGCCAGGCCACGGGGCGGGGTGGACCCGGGGCAGCGATGAGTTCACGGCTGGCCCTGGCAAGTCTGACACACACGGTGAACTGCTGTGTGGGAAAGGCGGATGTGGCGGCCGCCTGCCAGGCGGCCCAGGGCAGGGAGGCCGGGGGCACGGGGGCTGAGCGTCAGCTGTGAGGTGTTGGGCCGGAGGAGAGAGTGCACAGGCCAGAGGCGCACGAAAGTGCATGGATGGAAGCGTGGACGGGCTCTGGGGCTGCGGGAAGATGAGCAATCCCAGGAAAGCTGTCTGAGTCTGACTTAGAGAAAGAACCAGGCGGACGGGACGGATAGTGTTTAGGTGTGGCCGGCATCGGGACAGGGCCATTGGCCCATTTGACAGGAGCTGTCTGACCACTCTGCTTCAGCGAATAGAACCTCCATCTGCACCAATACACAAGCACACACACACACACACATACATGTGTACACACATGCACACACACTCCCCTTCCATGGTCATCTTTACTAGTACATGCTTCCTGCCAGGACCAAGGCCAGCCTGGGCTCCTATCCCTGAGCCTGCTGTTCTTCATCCTGGGATGTACTGATGCCCGGCCAGGCACAGGGCAAAGGTCCAACCTGCAGGCAGGTGGGTTGGTTTCCTGGGTGCCAGGACCCAGCTACTCTCCCGGGCACGGGTCTTTGCCCATTGGCCACCGATGCCTGTGGATGCACCGGGCAGGAACGTGGTGGGTCACGGTGAAAGTTTCGTTCCAGTTCTGCTTCCTCTGCTTCCTAGTCCTTCGTCTCTTTAGTGACTCTGTTACCTCATCAGGGAAGTCACTGCATCCTAGGGTGCTGTAAGGATTAAGGACACGACCATGCAAAGAAGTGCTTCTCAGCCCTTAGGAACATAGGAGCCATCCGGGGGTCTTGTTAAAATGCACCCTCTGCATTCAGTGCCTGGGTGGGGCCCGAGAGCCTCCATTTCTAACCAGCTTCCAGGTGATGCAATGCTGCTGGTCCAAGGACCACCTTTGGGTATCGAGGATGTAACGTGCACAGAGCATCATGAAGGCGAGGGAGGTGGTCACATTGCCCTCCCCCGCTCCCCCGGATACCCTGAGAGAGGCAGGGTGTGTCCATTCTTGGCTGAAGTATGTGGCCAGGGTCCTGGACAGGGAGGCAGGGAAAGATGACATTGACATGTTCTCCCTGCTCCATGGAGGGAGAAATGTGTTCTTTACTTCAAATGATCCCTCAATTGAGTGGTGGAGGCCTGACCCATGGGAACGCCTGTCTGATTAGGACAGTGGTTCTCAACCTTCTGGCCCTTTAAATACAGTTCCTCATGTTGTGACCCAACCATAAAATTATTTCCGTTGCTACTTCATAACTGTAATGTTGCTACTGTTATGAAGCGTAATGTAAATGTCTGATATGCAGGATGGTCTTAGGCGACCCCTGTGAAAGGGTCGTTCGACCGCCAAAGGGGTCGCGACCCACAGGTTGAGAACTGCTGGATTAGGAAGAGAGACCTTCACATGTGAATGTGTATAAACCCAGTAGAATTGGCGCCTTTGAAGTGCAGAGGTGCCAAATAAGAGTCATTCCAGGGTGACTTTTTGGAGGAGGACATTGAGCTTGAAGGAGTTTAGGGAAAGACGGCGTGCGGGTGGTGGCCAGGTGGCCCTCCTGGTAATCTGACATTTCTGGGTGTCTGGGCCCAAGGACCAGGCCTGTGGCGCCCCCTTGCCTAGTAGCACCCCTCCCCGGGCCCACGTGTTCCCCGGCAAGCTGGGCCTCGCTTGCCAGCTCCCCTCCTGAAGACGTCTCGCTGGAAGGCAGGCTCTGTCTGCTCATTAGCACAGGCAGCCTTTCCCTGAAACCTTCCGCTGGGGCCAAGCCTGGCTCCCTCCACGGAGCAGGAGGCCCTGGCTCCGTCTGCTAATCGTCTGCTGTCTCCATCGTGAGCATTATTTTATTTTCGTATTATTCTTTTTCCAGCTAATATCCTGGCATTCCCAAAGACACCGGGTTTCATAATCTCCCTGGCGTTCCCAGGGAGCTGGGAAGCGGAGCACAAAGCTGCTATTATAGCGCGTTCCATCCAGCCTCCCTCTCCTGCCCCACACCCCTTGCTGCCGCCACCGCGGGCTCCCACCCAGTCACCCCTCCTGACGCCACCGGCCTCTCTGGGAACTCTGGTGACGGCTGCCGGGATGAGCTCACAGAATCCATCCTGTCGCTCTTGCCCTGGGCCTGCCCTCCACACACAAGGATTTTTCCAGAGCCCCGTCTCTGAGCTTGGCCCTGAGTGTCGGGAAGGGTTTTCTGAGATGCCTGATCCTGGGCAGGGAGGGAAGGAGATGGAGACTCAGCAATTTGTTCGCATAGCCTGAGAGTTTTTAGAGCTGGAAGGGACTTTCATGTTCGAAAGGTGCTCTCCACCTGGCTTTGGAGCTGCCGGAGCCTAGAAATTGGATGCGAAGTTGTGGGTGTGCATGTGTGTGTACATGTGTCTGATGTGTAATCATATATGTGATGTATGCACATACGACACACATGCAAATTACATGTATGCGTGTGATACATCTGTGCAGGTGTGTGAAATGTGTACAATGCTTGCACGTGTGTGTGCAATGAGCACATGTGTGTCTGTGATGGGAAATCCTGGTGGAAGGTCCATGGTTTTCTTCAATAATGAGAATGGAGGACCCCAAAGAGGGTAGGAAATACCAAATTCCATTTTGCCATGTCCCAGAGACCAGGCTGAGAACCTTATGAGCACCGTCTCATTCTGTTCTCACAGTGACCCCAGAAGGCTGGGTTCTGTTATTAGGCCCATTGTATAGTTGCGGAGACTGAGGTTCAGAATCACGTTGTCCAAGATGGTAGCCACTAGCCAGCATAGGTGGCTATTTAGATTTACATTTAACGTAATTAAAGTAAGAAAATCCAGTTCCCCAGTCACACCAGCCACATCCCCAGGGCCCGGTAGCCACGCCTGGTGACCACATGGGACAGTGCTGCCCTAGAACGGCTCTGAGTCCCTCTGTTGCCCCAGAAGAAACGGAGGCCTGAGAAGGGGTCTG